GCTTCGTGGTTGACTGATCCTGAGTCGCTTCATCAGATTTTAAATTGTATTTAAACGCTTGATGTTCAATTTTATCCCACCATCATACTTTCAGCTACCTCTTTCTAAGCAGCCATTACCTACAACATACCAGGAGTTAAATTCAAGTGTCAGAAGATTCTTCCCCTATGATTCAACACTAGCTCAAACACCCTTATCTGAAGTCATCTTCCAGCTTAGACAATACTATAGATTCAATCTCCTTCACAGTGATTATTTTGTCGTTAAACCACTACTTCCAACTAATTCGGAACAAATTAAACACATGATCAGTATACTTACACTATTACACAGGATGATATTGTGAAAGCCTTTATTAAAGAAGTGTCACAATGCTATAGAATACACTACCCTCTCCCTAACAATATTATGCAAGCCAACCCTACAGCTAAACCACGCCTACCTACTAGTGAAGAAGTCATTACTCAACATAATATTACTATACCAATTACCAATTCACAACAACTAACCAACACATTCCTAATCTGAACCTGGAGACCGATGGAATCTCTAATAGCCTAGATACACAGACAACCAAGGAAACTTTGCCACTACTACCTAACAACCTTCAAGAAATTAATACGATTTTAGCTAATTATAAAATTACTATTACATTGCCAATTAGTAAACAAACTCAAGTAACACCTACAATGAAGACACTACAACAATACTTTAATATAAAAACAATACCAGATTTTCTACTCAATTTACCTCTACTACCAACCCCAACATGGGATATTTTCAAAATACAAACAGCTGACTCTACACACCAACCATTAGCAAATAACATGCTTATAGATACTGATGTCACAGTGTATTTCAGTACCACGGAAATTCATCGCGCAGGGGTCTGATTAGGATCAGGACTTGCATATGTGGCGTGATTCGGATTTGCATGAATTGCATGATCGTTGAATTAGTGAATACATAAAATTAGGTAATAGTCTAATGCATGTAACATGGATAAATATATATTCAGAGATAATCTTGTATTTAAATATTGCGATCTAATAATAATAAAGTTAGCGTTTTAAGTTTGGCTTTAGGTAATAACATTCTTAATATACACTATGTGGTCACTCTTGAGGTGTCGAATAAAGGTGGTAGTACCTGGAACAATACTCCAAACTTCGTGGAAAGCCAAGTGAGTAGAATTGAAAGGCCGAAGTAATAAAGACCCGTATTACTGCGAATCATCATGACAGAAGGACCTGGGCAGTTGAACAGCCCTACTCGCCGAAGCCGTTGAAGTCTTGCTGTGTGAAGGTCCAAAGAAATTTGTGGTTGTTGAAAGGGCCGTGATCAGTGAATTAGAGTTGCCCAGTTGCCGTTGCGAAGTTAAAAAGCCATGATCAAATGTTATGTCAAGGTACATTGTTAGCAAAGAGTGCCGTGAATAAATAAGGACAATAGAAATACGAAAGGACATTGTTAGTGGATAGGTAAAGATAAAAAAAAAAAAAAAAAAAAAAAAAAAAAAAAAAAAAAAAAACATTACCGGAGTGGTGAATTCAAAGAGAATGGAGGGTGAAAATCGGTTGTTGTTGTTAGTTGAAAGCATAATCGGGTTAGTAGTTGAAGTGGTAAAGACTTTGAAGAAATGAAGGATAAAAAAGAAACAATACAAACTACGACTATGCTATGAATGCCGAAGGCCAGGACACCTAGCTGAAACTTGCCCGAATCGAAAGAGCCAAAGTTCAAGAAGTTGTAACGTAAAGGACAATGGTTATAGTGGCATGTTGGTTAATATACAGTATATGGGGTTGGTAGGGAAAGGGGTGAATGACGTTAAAGTGAATAATCAAACCCCATGGAAACATAAATGTTCAAGATGTAAGAATGAACCAACTTATCTGGTAAATAGGAGAAAGAATAAGCCTGGCAATCGTTATTTTGAAAGGATATTGATGAAGAAAGATGATGGTGTCAATTATGAAATGAGAAATAGGATCGCTAGTGTCACAGGTTAATCTGTGACTTTCGTCACAAACAACCTAGTCCAAACGGCGAGCACTTAATCGCTTTGCTATGATCGATTTTCAGATTATATTAAGGCAAGTATTTTGTTTACTACTCAAATGAACTTTATTTATTAATTAAGAGAGACGGATTCTAACTAACTAACTCTATTATTACAATCGCTTCTGCTATATACATACTTTGGGTCAATTAATTACATCATAATTTACTCATATGCGATCATACGATCGTTTGACTCTTATATTACCAATAAATTACCTCATATTTCATGCATACTGATGACCTTACGTACTACCGTTGGTTGCATAATTGATTATTACTCGATCTCTTATTCCCGATCGATCACGTACTTATCACATACATCACGTGCACAAAATAATGATCGTTCCTTCATTTTACCTTCATTCCCATACAAGTTCATCGCATACTGTAAATCACCATGACACTAGTATGATGAATAAGAAGAACTTTGGTAGAGAGAAAGAACACGTGCCTGACGTTCGAATGACGAATGAGGATCCGAAAGGTTATGGTCTTGAGATCGGTCATGTGGATGAAGTTGAAAAGGATGAGAATAAGGCATTCGAATATTATCAAAGATCCGCAGACATGGAACATGGAAATGGAATATGCAATGAGAAAAATGAACCTAAAGCATTCGGCCATTATCAAAAATCTGCTGAAGGTGACCTAAAAGCACATGACAATCTTGGATTGTGTTATCAATATGGAACTGGAAATGATAAGGATGAATGTAAGGCATTCGTTCACCATCAAAAGTCTGCTAACATGGGAAATGCTGATGGAATACATAGTGTTGAACATTGTAATAACGATGGAATTGATCCTGGAAATGATGAAAAGAAAGATGAGAAAACTGTTGAGATTTATGATGATAATGTTGTGTATAATGAGTTCAAAGTTAATGACGATGGGGGTAAAGCTGCAGATGGTAGAGCATATGAACGGTGCTTGAAAAACGTTGGGCGTGGTAATGTGAATGAGCGATGGAACCGTGGATTCTGTTATGAATATGGAATTGAGGATAAAATTGAACATCAAGCGTTTAAATACAATTTAAAATCTGATGAAGCGACTCAGGATCAGTCAACCACGAAGC